CTTCCATCTTCTTGGCAGCCTCTTCACGGATCCTCTTCTCTTCATCTGCCTTTTGTTGAGCGTCCTTCACCAGCCTCTTGTCTTCTTTCTTGGCAACCTCATCATGGATCCTTTCTTCCTTTTGCGGAAGCTCCGGCTCGTCCTGAGCAGCTGTCACTTCAGGATCATCTTGGAAGTCTTCCTCCTCTTCTTCTTCCTCCATCATGATGACCTCATCAACCTCGTCGGCCTCGGTCATTGCTTCGTCATTCTTTTCTTCAGCCTTTGCTTCAGCCTTGTCTTCTTTTTTTCCTTTCTCTTTTTCGCCGTCCTGTGGGCCAGATGGGGTGGGTATGTTTTAGGCCTTAGGCTTGTCAAAATTGAATTTGAACCTACAACTGCAAGAATATCGATCCCCTAATTCCTGCCTTCAGCAAGTGAGGTCTTCGAATCGATCTTGTTCGCTTTTTGATTCCATGCTCCTTCGAATGCTGGGAACATTGATCCAATAGAGGTTGAGAAGCCACAAGAATGTGGCCTCTTAGCCTCTCTTGGAGAGTTTGGACTGTAACATATTCAACTCAACAAACAATGAACAAATCCATATGATCCTCATAGATCATGCTCACCATTCGCTTCAACTTTGCTAAGTTGGAATCTGGTTTCCTGCAATCAGAACTTAAACTATATGAAGATCGAGTTGAGTAGTGGCTACGGAGCCTCGCTTCAGTGCTGCGACCGTGCAAGTGAAGAATTTTGCTCGCCAGGCAGCGATGCAAACCAGCCTCTGTGTTTGCCCATTCCTGATCGAGGTTGGTGATGTTGGGCTGCTTTGGGGGAAGCGGAACCAATGTGTCGAGTGATCAAAAGACAATCGATTTGACGGAACATAGTCTTAGTTGCAGTGATTCGTACTTTCTCGATGAGTTTCCACCATTTCCGGTGTTACCACTGTGGAATCGTACAAGTGGTACTCCATGGCCACATCCAGCAAAGCTTCCTTGCAGCGGTGGTTTCAGGTGGACGTGTTGAAGCTCGCGAGTGCATGGTGTGAGACAGGCGTGCCTTTGTCTCCGTGGCTGTTGGGCAGTTCAGTGCAAAGGATGGTAACCACATCATAGCGAACTTTGTGTTTGCATCGGTCTGGATCTGGCCGGTCATAGATGCAAACAACTGCAAAAAATGTCCGCAAATGTAAACCTGCCAGCTACACCATATCCTCACTAAGGCCTTTGGTGGGATGAACATCCAGGAATGTGAATGTTGTTGGTACCTGGAGCCATGGAAATCGACACATGGGGTCCGAATGATCAGTGACTCAAATTCTTTCAGCTAGCCAATCAAAAATGATGCAACTGATCTGGGGGGCACCCCATTTCCTTTCACCAAGACCTTCTCAATCTTAGCTTCGGGCATGCCCTCCTTTTTTGCCAAAAAACGAAACCTTTCTAAGCGGTAATCGTCCTTGAGAAGGTCTTTGTAGAATTCCTGGCAGACCCGGAGCCCGTGACTGGTATTGGTTGGAATGGGCATGGCATCTAACTACAATGTAACATACGTTCTTCCTGAGAGACTGCCAGCAAAATCCACCTTTGGCACCCTGGCCTTCAAAAGCTGAATACGCTCCGCGTCAGGTTTCTTCGTCGGCATGACGGCGGCAAGCAAATGCGAAAAGGGGCGTGGAGATCAAAGTGGCCGTGTGAAGAAAATAGTAGAGCACTGAACATCAAAATGTAGTCTTTCCTGCACTGGCCCCTGAAAATTGGCTGAGAGCCAAGATGATACAATCAAGAACCAATCTTCGCTTTGAACATCAAATGAAAGCAATGCAACGGGCGCATTCAGGAATGTTTGATAGCACTTTGGCGGGGAAGGCGCCTCTTGAATCGCGAAGCTCCCATTTGCCTTGGCCAGCTAGGATGATAATGGAGATTAATGTACCAAGTGGTGCCAGTAGCTGATTCACTTGATAGGGCCCTGGCGTTTTTCGATGGCCCGCTTCATCCAATCATGGCCACCAGGGATCCAAAAAGTGTGGCCCTGAACATCTTGAGCCACAAGCCTAAACTGGTGGCCTTCCACGAAGTAAAAGATAGCGTTTTCAGAAAGCCTATGTTTTACAAAGTAGAACATGAACGTCCTCCAAGTACAAGTTAAACTTGACCTTTGAAGCCTAGGGTATAACTATTCAATCCAGCACCACGGATTCCGGGTGTCCATTAATAGCCCCTTAGAGGTCAAGGGGTGTCCATTAACCACCTGTTGAGGGTCCAAACAGTTATGGTTTCCGCCAACCGACGGCCCAAACCCTCCCGACGTTGGGTGCTCGGACTGCCGTTCTGCATCTGATCCACTAAGTTGTCATACCTGGGAGAGGAAGGACAGTGACAAAACGAACAAGCTCCTTTCAACCGAAATCGGTGAACCTTTGGGATTCGGAGACCACCGAACCCTGTGACTGGAAGAAGATGCCCCAACGATGCCCAAACCATGTCTGAAGATGGTGGAGGGTTCAGAACGCTCTTAACCGATGTGTTTTATGGAACTCTAGAAGACTTGGCTTGGGAATACCCACCAGCATCCACGCACACACAGCAGCAGCTGCAAAACTCGGGAAATCCCACTAACTTGCAGTTTCACGGCCTGTCACGGCCTGTCACGGCTAACCTCGAGTGGTCCAGCATCCAGTCACGACCGGACAATCCGAGTCATGTCATCTCGGACGAGTCTCGGGGAGTCCAAATCTGTCCACCTGCTCCCCATCTGAACCACCTGTACAGAAACCACCTGACTCTCTCCCCACCTGTCTCGGGGATTCCAGTCTGAGCTAACCACCGGTACACCTGACTCTCCTCTCCTCTCCAGCGGTGAGATGTCAAGTGGCAGGGCGTCCACCGAGAAGTTGGTCTCCGCCGACATGAGTGTGGAGTATCCGGCCTTGGCCACCTGGAAGATGAACGAAGGGTTCGGAAGCGATCGAACAACCACGAAAAAGAGCGATGAACGAAGGTACCCATACACTCCATGGGACTACCAATATGTATACATTGGGGTGGTTGAAAAGGGGTGAATGTATAATAGACATGGAGTGTTTGGGTAGGAAAGCTGAGGTGCCCTGGCTCCATGGCGTCCAGTCGCACCTTCGTTTCGGGTCCGGTCCGAACTTCGTGCTCGAGACCGACAGGACTTCGATCCAGGACTTCATGGGTTGAAGATGATTGGGACGTTCAGGATCCGTCAAGGTGTCCCATACACGACCTGTCTGGGACTGCCATAGTTCTGCCCCAGATAGACCCCCCTGGCACCACCACCCCTGGCCGTTTTGAAGGCAGTCCGGACTGGTAGTTTTATGGGTTGTGTCTGGGTGTGAAGATCTCTTGGACCAAACTCTGTTCAAGACAAAACAGCACGATGGGGATGGTGGGTAGCAGTGGGGGTAGCAACTGACCGCGGACTGGATGGTTGAACAATCGTCCAGAGATGTGCAAGAGGCAAGCCTGGACATGGTAAAACATGGTAAAACCCTTCAAGAGCAGGGAATATATGGTACATCACAAACACTTGATGATCTTGATGATATAATGATATACGATCATTGACAAATACCATGCTACAATGATGAATTTTTTTTCTCCACCGCCCTTTCAACCTTCCGCCCACCGTCGACCACACGGCGACCACACCTCGATCTCATCGACGCACTGCTGGAGCACCGTGCCTCAGGGGACAGCGAACGTGCGAAGCGCGGAACCGGGTCCCCGGTGCCGAGGGGTGCGAATCCCGGGGCCCAGGAAGCCGAGTGGTGGGGCCGGTGGTACAAGTGGTTACGATTTTTGTCGAGAAGGATTGACCTGCGAAGAGGCAGAAAAAATAAAAGGACCGGATAACCCCACATGATAAGTTTTACAAATTTCAAATGTATATGAACATCACACGGGAGACGGAGTAGTGAGATGAAGAGTCAAGAACGAAGTGTGAGGAGAGAAGGTATATGATGCGGTTGTGCTAAGACGTGTAGTATAAGTGATGATGTGATGGACGAGGATGAGAA